CAGGAGTTTGAGACCAGCCTGGCCAACAGGGTAAAACCCTGTCTCTACTAAAACTACAAAAATTAGCTGGGTATGGTGGTCAGCACCTGTAATTCCAGCTACTCAGGAGGCTGGGGCAGGAGAAGTGCTTGAACCCAGGATATGGAGGTTGCAGTGAGCCAGGATCCCACCACTGTACTCCAGCGTGGGTGACAAAGTGAAAGTCTGTCTCAAAAAAACCCAAAAAGCTGTAATCAAAGGATGGATACAATCTGAATACAAATTTTAAAATGCAAAATTCTGAAGTACAAAATTTTGTTTATTTATTTTTGAGACGAAGTTTTGCTCCTGTTGCCCAGGCTGGAGTGCAGTGGCACGATCTCGGCTCACTGCAAGTGCCACCTCCTGGGTTCAAGCAATTCTCTTGCTTCGGCCTCCCAAATAGCTGGGATGACAGGCACCCATGACCACACCTGGCTAATTTTTGTATTTTTAGTAGATATGGGGTTTCACCGTGTTGGCGAGGCTGGTCTTGAACTCCTGACCTCAGGTGATCCGCCTGCCTCAACCTCCCAAAGTGCTGGGATTACAGGTGTGAGCCACCACACCCAGCCCCAAATTTTAAAACATTAACATAGTATAAATGGTTGTGATTTTTTTGGCTGTATGTTTAAATAACATATTTACCCATTTTCATTGATAATAGCTTTGTAACACTGCATTTATTTTTAGATTTGAATTTTCTCTCAATTTTATTTTTTACTACTATAAAAAGTGTGTTCCTCTTTTTTCCTCTATGTTCTTCCCTTAGGATAAATTTCCACAATGGGATCACCGTCTTTTCTTTGCTTTGTTACAGTGTTAGGATTTCATGGGCCTCAATCTTGGCATGGCAAATGGATGAAGTATACAGACTGAGCCAGGGCTGCTTTAAAGTTGTCTTAGATTACGATGTTAGCAGGCTTAATAGCATGTTGCCAGTTCAGAAATGAGAGAGGGGAGGGTACAGAATGTTTCCATTGTTCTCTGCCATAAGGTTCCACAAGAATCATTCAAATGGAAACACTTGTCACCTATAGAACCCCATTCTCAAGTGGCATTTACTCATCGATTCCATCAGTTCATCAAACAGTTAACATGTATGTATTGTACTACCAACCACTGTGTTAGTCTCTGGGAATAGCCTTAGGGAAAGACAGCCTTTGTCCTTACCTTCTTGTGGTGGTGGCACCTTAGTGGCATTGGTCCATAGATTGCTGGCTCTGTTTCAGGGGGCTTTGTGATAATTTTAATGTAAAGGTTTCCCCAAAATCTAGTAGATGATCAATCCTTTGCCTTTGATATCTGGGTTATATTTTGTCAATGCTATGTTGAAGCTTGAGTGATTGCAGTGATTTTGAATTATGTTTGGAACGCAGACAAAGACTCTTAAGAGTGCATATTTGAAAAAGTTGGAAAATTACATTTACTATGATATAAAATATTTGCAATGCTATTAATTTTGTACTTCTAGTTATAAGAAGAAAGGAAAGTACCAACATGCATGTTGTTGAAAGTGGTCTTGATAATCCTGTCTTATATTAACTAGAGTAGAAAAGCTTTAGGCTTTTAACTTTTAAAGGTTTTTAAGATCAAAGTAAAAAAGTTACCACTTCTTTGAAGGTTTTTAAATTTAATAACATTTTATAATTAGCATGAATAGCTGCATAAAGTTTTAATATTTATCCAAAAGGGCAAGGGAATACAAAAGATTAAGAAATACAACAGAATGCGGCAAACTAAAACTCTAACCTTATGACGTTACTGTGAAAGTGTAACATGTTTGCTGTAGAGTAAAATTTAGCATATGAGAAATTGATTTTGGATATGAAGTATCAAAAGTATCTTAAAAATAAGTCTCTGCTGGGCCAGGTGTGGTGGCTCACACCTGTAATCCTAGGACTTTGGGAGGCCAAGGTGGACAGATCACCTGAGGTTGGGAGTTTGAGACCAGCCTGACTAACATGGAGAAACCCTGTCTCTACTGAAAATACAAAATTAGTCAGGTGTTGTGGTGCATGCCTGTAATCCCAGGTGCTCGGGAGGCTGAGGCAGGAGAATCGCTTGAACCTGGGAGGCAGAGGTTGTGGTGAGCCAAGATCGCGCTATTGCACTCCAACCTGGGCAACAAGAGCGAAACTCCGTCTCAGAAAAAAAAAAAAGGATCTGCTACAAAGAAACTGTGATTTGGACCCTGTGACATTATAATAATGCAATTCTGTTTTGAATCTGTTTTTAACCTGTGTTCAGGTTGTGGAGTATTCATTGTCATTTAACTCTTTCAAATCAACATATTCTTGACTCAATATGTGGTAAGTAAAGTCTTCATAATTGGGAGGCTGATACACAAATTGGGCTGAAATACTGCTCTGCTTGTCACCATGCCTCCCTAGAATGAACTGCCTTTTGATGACCGGGACGAATTGAGTGAAATCGTAACGGACAGATACGGGGCAGACAGATTTTAGAGTAGACTTGTAAAGGGAATGGAATTCTTTCCTCGTTATAACTTGGATTTGTTGTCTTTTTCCCTTTTAGCCCTGCCTCTTTCTTGTTGCAGTCAGTTTCATCATCAGATAGAAACAGTGTTACACTACTTGAAAAGGTATGTTTTTAAATGTCTCAATTAATTCTAGCCATACTAAATTATAAAATATTATTTTTTTGATACCAGTTAAATTTAATGTCTGTTTTTACATTTTCTAATATTTGTATATTTTGTACCATATCTACTTATATATTCCTTATTGCTAAGTGGGAATATTGGAATTAGTTAATTCTGCCAGTGACATACAATTTCACAATAATGTTAACCTTTTATAGCTTCATGATAACCAATGAACTGCTAATGAAGAAAGCTTCAAGATCAGCCATGATTATTAAGGGTTTAACATTACATATCTGTCTTCTTCAGGACACAAAGATGAGAACTCCCAAAGAAAAAAACGAAGCAATTTCTAAGAAAATACCAGAATTTGAAGTGGAAAATTCTCCATTATCAGATGTTGCAATGAATACAGAGAGTAGTACATTTGGAGAGTCTCTGCCAGCTAAAAAAAGTGATCCATTTCAAAAAGAGCAAGATCATCTGGTAGAAGAGGTGAGAAAAGACTATAATGAGTATACTTAAATATCAGTTATTAGATGGGCACAGTGACTCGTGCCTGTAATCCCAACACTTGGGGAGATTTAGGCAGAGGAACACTTGAGCCCAGAAGTTCGAGACCAGCATGGGCAACATGGTGAAACCCATCTCTACAAAAAAGTTAAAAAAAAAACCAGTTGAGCATGGTGGTACGTCTCTGAAGTCCCAGCTACTTACTGGTGAGGCTGAGGTGGAGGATCACTTAAAGCCCAGGCTATTGAGGCTGCAGTGAGCTGTGTTTGCATTCCTGCACTCTAGCCTGAGTGATAGATTGAGACCCTGTTTCAAAAAACAAAATCAAAAACGAGTATTTTCTCAATGGTGTTGGGATCCTAAGCGAAATACAGTTAATTATTGATTACCTGAGGTAATATGGGATAAAGAAGGCTACAGATAATAAAAATTATGGTTAAAGCAAAATTCGTTTTCCTCCAAAGTGAGAATAGATTCAATATAAACTTTTTTAGTTAATATTACAACTGTGGTGCAGAACCCACTTCCCATTCTTTAAACATTACCTGAAAGTATACAAATGATACATTTGAGAAATTTTGGAGATTAACCATTACATAGTTAGATAAATGTACCCAGGGTTTATACTTTATTAAAATACTTTGTCAGTGTTGTTTGTTGCTTAGCTGAGTTTCCTCTTTTTTTGAATATTAGAACACGTTGCAGTATCGTATCACTGAGTGTAGGTTTTGTTCTCTTTGCTGTCTAAAATATTTCAAAAGTGATTAGATGCATTGTTGTTAATGAACTTGATTTTCCTAACCAGCCCCATCCCTTAACACTATTCTGCTTTTCACTGGTAAGTGACCGCACAGTGCTACCATTGGTCAGCATTACAGAACTCAGTTCACGCAAGTTAAATTCTGAAGTTATTTGTTAATGTTATTTTTAATACATTTCCCATAACATGCTTTAGCATTGCTTGGATTTGGTTAAGCAGCCAGAAAATTAGTGTTACTTTTTACTCCTGAGAGACTGAAAAAAATTTGGTTTAGTGGATATTAATTCAGGTATTGGACTTCCCTCCTTTATTGCATTCCTGATCAAACTAAATGAGCATTGTCCAAATAAGAGAACTGAATGTCAGACATTTTTCTTTTTTCTTTTAAGACAGGGTCTTGTTCTGTCACCCAAGCTGGAGTGCAGTTTTGCAATTATAGCTCACTGTAACCCCGAACTCCTGAGCTCAAGGGATCCTTCCACCTCCGCCTTCCAAACAGCTATGACTATAGGCGTGCACCACTTTGTCTGGCTAATAAGTTTTTTATTTTTTGTAGAGTTGGAGACTCACTCTTTTGCCCGGGCTGGTCTCAAACCCATAGCCTTAAGTGATCCTCTAGCTTTGGCCTCCCAAAGTGCTGGGATTACAGGCGTGAGCCACCATGCCTGACTGGATGTCAGTCATTTTTCTTATTTGTAACAGGTCTAGTTTCATGGTCCTTAAGTACTTTTAAATCTCTAAAGTTCTTTTGTTTCTCTTCATTGACTCTACACTAAAGAAAAGATGGTTAGTCTTTTTTACTTTCCTAATTTTGAAAGGAAAAATACATTTTCTGATTAAAAGAATTTATATTAGCAATGGGATCAGATAGAAGAGGAAAGTCTTAAAATTTCATGAAGCTCTGAAAGTAAAATTAATTTTCTTTAAGAGTATTTATGACAGGGGATATTTAGTGTTTGAATTCCCAGAAGCACTCTGTTTTCTTGAAGGAGAAGCCCTTTTTTTCTATGGGCCAATTTTATTTGTATTTTTTATTTTATTTATTTTATTTTTTTGAGATGGAGTTTTGCACTTGTTGCCCAGGCTGGGGTGCAATGGCGCCATCTCGTCTCACCACAGCCTCCGCCTCCCGGGTTCAAGTGATTCTCCTGCCGCAGCCTACCAAGTAGCTGGAATTACAGGCATGCACCTCCATGCGCAGCTCCTTTTGTATTTTTAGTAGAGATGGGGTTTCTCCATGTTGGTCAGGTTGGTCTCGAACTCCTGACCTGAAGTGATCCACCTGTCTCAGCCTCCCAAAGTGCTGGGATTACAGGCGTGAGCCACCATGCCCGGCCTCTTGTGCCAATTTAATTATGGCTTCCAGAAGTTTATTTTTTAGTGATGTCGGTGGCAGAATTTTTAATTTGCATGTTTTTTCTTTTTCAGTTTTATTGATACTTAATAGAGAGCACTATTTTGATATTGGATACGTTTCTGTTTTAGAATGTACCTATACTTTTTTCAGTAATTTAGATCTGATAATGAGGTTTCTGGTGAAGAGGTATGTTGTCAGAATGATTCTGTTTCTTAATAGAGGTGTTGCTGTGCAAATTGATTATAATTGAGAAGAGTCTGCTTCCTTTAAAACTAGTCATTTTAGTGAATACAGAGCTGGCAAGCTTACAGTTGTGGTGGACAGCAGCTTAGGTCACTGCACAATTGGAACTGCCCCTAAATCTTCCCGGTGTAAAGGTTCTTATCTATTCTCTCCTTTATAATGGGCTATCCATTTAAGATGAGGAAATACTTCAGTGTTTCATTTTACAGGATTGTACCTAGATGGTCTATACAGAATTGTTTGGGAACTTCTTTGTTGTTTATTTTTTGTGTTGTCTGCAATGGGAGGGGCTGCTGACTGTGAAGTGCTTATTATCCTTATCAGGGGTTTTGTTGCATTCTACCAAGGGGCTTGGTAATCTTTGCTTTACTTTTTCTTTTCTGTTTTAGATTGCCAGAGCAGTTTTATCTGATTCACCACAACTCTCTGAAGGAAATGAAACAAAATTAGAGGAACTAATGGACTCTCTGGGTTCTAACCCCTTCTTAACAAGGAATCAGATTCCCCGAACTCCAGAAAACTTGAGTAAGTTAATAATACTTTCTGTTACTCTTTTTTATTTCTTTGACATAACCACTGTTAGAACCATGACCTAACAGATCTTTTTAGCTTAGTTGCCAATGGTTCTTTATTTATGCTGTTGTACTCGACATACTAAGTGTGGGCATTCTCACATAACAGTCTTTTAGCAGTATTTTGTGCCTTTAGTGTACTCAGTATATAGAGATATAAAATTTTGATAATATACAATTTTGTCTTTGTTGTTTACTTTGCTTTTATCTAGAAAGATCTTATTTGAGCATTTAAAAAAAAAAATCTCTTGCCTCCTGGTCTGACCTGTGATCACGTATTTATAGAGTACATAGGCTGTGTTCTGCCAGTCATCAACCAGAAGCATTAGCTATAAACCATGTGTGCGGAGGTCTTTACCCCTCCCAAATGAGTCAAACTGCCCAATACCTTTTTTGCTATAACTTGTAATTTGTGTAGGCAAAGTTCTGATATTGGTGTCCTTAGGTAGGCACATCATCTTGGTTGAGTAACTAAATAATTTCTGTTCTGCTGCTGATATAATTCAGTTTGAACTGAGCCACAGCCTAGGTCAGCAAACTATAGCCTATGAACCAAATTTGGCCCCACCTTGTGTGTTTTTGTATATAAAATTATATTGAACATAAGCATTTTCATTTGTTGACATTGTTTATGGCTACTTTCATGCTATCATGGCAGAGTTAAGTAGTTGACAGAATGGATGACCTGCAAAGCCTAAAATATTACTATCTGGTCCTTATAGAAAATGTTTGCCAAACTGTGGCTTAGATGGACAAGAAAAGGTCTTTTTAATACATGTAATTCGTATGTGCTGCGTAAAAATTGACGCACATTTTAAGAACAGCTCTCTTTCTATGTGTTTATTTGTGTGTGATCAGTTGGAGATGGGGTTCTTTGATGTTGGGATTGGTTACATTGTGGAGCCTTGTCATCCAACCAGTATATTTATGGAACACATACTGAGTCGAGCTTTATCTTCAGTGTTAGAAATAATATGATTCATTGCATGCTCTATGTTTGGGAATGTTAGTAAATTGTGTTTTTCTCCCCTTTAATTGTAGTAACTGAAATTAGGAGCTCATGGAGAAAAGCTATTGAAATGGAAGAAAACAGAACTGCAGAACCAACTCAAATGGATGCTGAACATAGAGAAGTATTGCCAGAATCATTACCTGTGTTGCACAGTCAAAGAGAATTTAGCATGGACGATTTTCTCTTAGAAACCACTGTGTCAGATTTTGGCCAGTCTCGTTCGACTGAAGAGAAAGTTGTTTCAGATTGCAAGTGTGTGCCTCAGAAACCTGTGCTGACCAGTCACATAGATGAACCACCAACACAAAGTCAGTCAGATTTGTTAAATAAGAAAGTAATTTGCAAGCAAGATTTGGAATGTTTAGCCTTCACCAAGCTTTCAGAAACTAGCCAAATGGAGACATTCTCCCCAGCTGTTGGCAATAGGATAGATGTGATGGGTGGCAGTGAAGAGGAGTTTATGAAAATATTGGACCACTTAGAAGTTTCTTGCAACAAACCTTCCACAAATAAAACTATGTTGTGGAACTCTTTTCAGATATCAAGTGAAATTAGTTCTAAGAGTTTTAAAGATAATGATTTTGGCATATTACACGAAACTCTTCCGGAAGAAGTTGGTCACCTAAGTTTTAATAGTTCCAGTAGTTCAGAGGCCAATTTTAAACTGGAGCCAAATAGTCCTATGCATGGTGGCATTCTTCTAGAAAATGTTGTGGGAGGGAGACAGACTACTCCAGAATCAGACTTCAATATACAGGCTCTTCGCAGTAGATACGAGGCTCTGAAGAAATCTCTTTCCAAGAAAAGGGAAGAATCTTACCTCTCGAATTCCCAAACACCCGAAAGACACAAACCAGAATTGAGCCCTACTCCCCAAAATGTACAAACAGATGATGTGCTTAACTTTTTGGACACCCGTGATTTGCATACTGACCGTACAAAGACATCTTTACCCATGTCCATCGGTGAAAGAAAACGGTCTCTTTCACCACTAATTAAGTTTTCTCCAGTGGAACAAAGATTGAGGACCACAATATCATGTAGTCTTGGAGAACTACCTAATTTAAAAGGTAAGGTTTAACTAGACCTATGCATATTCACCTGTTGAAGTTTTCTCTCAACTTTTGATAAAACCAGTACACAATGGATGCTGCATGACCTTTATTGTTAATGTGCTCCTCCTTCCTTCATTTAGGTTGAGGGGAATGATCTCTCACTGTAAAGGTCCTTTAAGAATCTCTGTTTATGTATATGTAGTTACAATTGATTTGAGACAGGGGTGGGAAAAAAAAGCCCCCCCAACCTGAAACTTACTGCTTTTATAATACAAATAACTGAAAAGTAATTGTCATCAAAATCTTGCCCACTGGAAGGTGGTTTTTAAAAACTTGAGAAACCCAATTTTAAATATCATCACTGTAATGGTGTAGTATCTGGGAGTGGGGTGTAGAAATAAAAGAAGCCAGGTCAGTGTATTAGTTTCCTAGGGCTGCCATAACAAAGCACCATAAAGTGGGTGGCTTGGAACAGCAGAAATTTATTGTCTCTGAAGATAGTAAGTTCTAGAGGCTAGATGTCCAAAATCAAGGTGTTGACAGGGCCATGTTCCCTCTGAAGCCACTAGAAGAGGATCCTTCTTTGCCTCTTCTAGCCTCTGGTAGCACCAGGCATTCCTTGGCTTGTGGCAGTGTAATTCTAATCTTTGCCTCCATTGTCACATGGTATTCTTCCCTTGTGTATGTGTCTTATAAGGACACAGTCATATTAGCTACTTAAGGGGTCACCCTACTCCAGTATGACCTCATCTTACTTAGCTAATTGTATCTGTAATGACCATATTTCCAAATAAGGTCACATTCTGAGGTACTGGGGTTAGAACTTCAACGGGGTATTAATTCAGTTCATAACAGTTAATATTAATAATTATTGAAGCTAGGTGATGGATACATTGAGTTAATCATAGTTCTCATCAGTTTTGTATGTTTGAATGTTTTCCTCATAAAAGGTTAAAAAAATCGCTCTTGTAGCTTATTAGGAGAGATAAGGATCTGGTGATACAGATTCATTACGTATCACTCTGATTTGCCCACAATAGTTATACACTGACTGCTATATTGAAAAGTATTTGGCTGGGCACAGTGGCTCACGCCTGCAATCCCAGCACTTTGGGAGGCCTAGATGGGAGGATCACTTGAACCCAGGAGTTCGACACCAGCCTCAGCAACACAGGGAGACTATGTCTCTACAAAAAATTAAAAAATTAGCTGGGCATGTTGGCACATGCCTGTGGTCTGAGGTACGCAGGAGGCTGAGGTGGGAGGATTACTTAGGCCTGGGAGTTTGAGGCTGGAGTGAGCTGCCATCGCGCCACTGCACTCCAGCCTGGGTGACAGAGCAAGACCCAAGAAAAAAAAAAAAAAAAAAGAAGTATTCTAGGAGGAATGTATTGATCTCTGGAGAAAGAGAGTACTTTGGTGAGAATAATGATAATTTTATCATAATTGAGTATTTGCAAAACTATGAACTTTTTATCTTGACTAAAATTTGCTACTGCTTGGAATCTGTTCTATTTATTTTTCTTTGTAATGTTTGCTTATACTTTTTTTTAAAAATCAATTTGCAGAAGAAGACATTTTGAATAAGAGCCTTGATGCAAAAGAACCACCATCTGACTTGACAAGATGAAGACATACCTATTTAATATAACTATGATGCACTTAAATTGAAGCTATGCCACAGGATAGAAACTGAATTATAACTTAAATACATGTTGGAAGTGTAACACTGTTTTTCAAGGTTTTAAAAAAATTCCAAATGCCTTTTAGCCTTCTTTAATATTTTTAGGTAAGGAAAGTATGTTTGGATTTTTTTCTCTTTGTAGGTATATGAGATTGAAATATGAAGTATTTGGAAAACAAACGTCAAGCAATGGGAAGCCATTTTGATTTCTTGAGTAATCTTGTAAGCATTAAGTGGATGACAAAGTAGTAGTGTAACTAATTTCTTATGTTATAACTTCAGTCAGTTAATATAAGGATGAGTAGTTTTTGTTGTATGTTCACTAAGTGGTTAATAGCCATTGAATATACTAATCTTTCATCATAGAGAACTATACAACTTTTATTGTTTCTTTATGGAACATTCTGGCTGACCAGAAAAAGTGAGAAAAGTAGTACCTTGGGATGTGTAGTCAAGATGACAAACTTTAAGACTGGAAAAGCTCTAAACAAGCTTAATGATTATTCAAGTAGAGTGATCCTGAGAAGTGATGTTTGGTGGAATAAAGTGCATGTGATGATTAAGTGAAGACTGGGGCAGAATGATTTAAAAAAAGGAAAAAGATGGAAGAAGATGAGTAGACACTTGTAAGGAACACTGTCAAACTATAAATCCATTCAGTGGGTTGTATAACATTTATATTTAGTCTAATTTAGACTTTGATAATTTAACTTAATCCTACTTTTATATTTTAACAAAAATATAAATTAAAATTTTCATTAGTCTGTTTTATTGTTGTTGGGTTATTTTATACTCCCTGTTGAGAGAAAGGAACAAGGAACAACCATCAAAATTCCTCAGTCCCTACAGAATAGCCCCACAATAACTTGAGAAAACTGAACCTAGAGTTAAATAACTTGTCACACTTGTAGTCTCCTGCCTCACTCCTTCAGGTGCCCTGCCTAGAAAAAGACTTGGGTCTAGCATCCAAGTGAACACATACTATTGCCCTCTGTTAACCAGGAGGAATGGAACAGACACTGGAAGGGTGATAGTACCTACAATACCCTTTGTAGTCCCCATCTCACAGCCATCAAAATCTTGTCCACTAGCCCCCAAAAAACTGGCAAGGAAAGAAGGTGGAGGGGAAATTTATGGAAGTAGATGGCTTAATAGTTCATCTCTCTTCATTTATCTTGGACTGCCTTTCTGTAAGTTGTTTGTGCTGACCCAGTGTGAAGACTCATCTTTTTGTGAGAAAAGACAAAATGAAGCACATGTAACTACCTTATTTGCAATGGAAAAGGAGAAGAAAAAAATCTTCTAAGTTGCTGTTTTCTTTTATTAGTTAATAAAACAAATCAGGGACTATGCAGGTCTATGGGGAAACCTTTAGTCTGCTTTAAGAAAACTCAGTATCTGAAAATCTTAGCATGTAACGCTATCATATCAGCATCTGCAGAAGTGCCAAGGCCATTGCTAGACACTTAATGTGTATTATTTCATTTAATTATATTTTAAATGTGCTTCCCTAGTAATTCTTAAGCTCAAGAAAGAGTTTGAGAACTGCTGCTAGGAAATAGAGATTCACATTGAACCCTGTGGTACTTTTAAGAAGCAGGTATGTTGTTATATATATACTTCGGTAGAGATTGTTAACTATCGATAGGGAAGCTCAAGTTCGCCACTCAAGTCTGAGAAACCCTTAATTACTGAGAATCAAATGAGCAGAATGTCTGTAGACATTTTGGATTTGTAAAAATCACGTTGTTGAGTTATACCTGTGATAGGCTGAAAGTTTTTGGCATTCTTTCCTGTTCTTCATATGCCAGTAACATAAACAAAAAATATCTCAGATCTATCACTTTCTTCTCCTAAACCAAAGTGATTGCGGCTTTTTGCCTGCAGCCTTTTCCCTATCCAATATCTCCTGCATAGTTACCTTTTGAACTTAAGAACTGTGTTGATTGGGTCACTTCCTTGCCTAAAATTCCACTAATGGTTCATTGTTAATTCTAAAACAGAGTTCAAATTTAAAGGCATGTAAGTTCCCCTATAGCAGATTTCTTCTATTCCCCCTTCCACTGTAATCTCCCTTTTTTTTTTTACTGAAATGCTTCAGTGAGCATGGGTCTTTAGGGGTCTTGGTTTACAATTTTTCTGAAGCAGGAATACCTTGCCTTCCTCTACTGGTTTACCACAATTACAGCTCTCTTTTAAGCCTCAGAAAAAATGTCACTTCCACCTTGAAGTCTTAATCCACGCTTTTTATATCCATGTGCCTATTCCTTCTCTGAAATCTCCTATGGTATCTTAACTTTTTATTCATTTTATGTCCCACTAATTGATTTTATTATATATTTTTTATGGTTGCATGTGGTCTCTCTAGTTATAGCAATATATACATACATACATACATACATACACATGTATGTAAATGTGTGTCGGGAGTATGTATTCACACACAGATACCCCAAGGCCATGTGTCATCTTTATCAATTGTTTAAGTTTTGGAATTGTTTAGTTTGCCTCCTATATCATGGAATAAATGGTAAAGAGGGCTAATTCATTACTGTAAGTGGATTTCTCATTACATTCATATCAGACATTATATAGAATGTACTGTTTTGTTCACTGTTTGTAAGATACAAAGGTGTATAAACTGACTTCTACATCAGCTTGAAACCTGAGATAATGTTAAAATGTTCTAGTTATTTTAAATGTTTAAAGAGAACCACCATATAATGTTGCTAAACATGAAAAATGTCATCAAGTGGAATAAAGAATAGTTGAAGTTAACAGTTGGGGGAAATTGAACTGAAAACAAAAATACGAGTATTTTGAAACCTTTTCTTTACCATGAGTCTCTTGACTATGAAGTCAAATTTATCTAAAGGAAAAACAGGAATTCTGGAGACCTGTGTAAAAGCAGACTATTATCTTCCTACTGTGAGTGTACTAAAATTAAAATATGTTTAATGACGTTTTCCTCAATGTAGAAGTATTGAAGTAAATGTTTCTTTTATGTTGCAGATACATAGTTGCTCTAGAGATCACCTTTTTCTTTAGGCACTGTGAATAGCAAGTCCGCATCCTAAGTTGAAAATATTTGAGAATCCTCTATGGGAGTCTTTGTAAATATTTTAAATACTGTTGTTTTCAATAAATATTTTATACTGTCTGGCTCTGGAATTTCCTGTATAATATCAACAAGAACTATGCCCCTGCAAACCTTAAGATGATCACACATAGAAGTATATTAATAACCTGATCAACACATTTGAGAGGTTCAGTGATTCAGGTAAACATGTTTTGTTACTTCCATTTTAATTACTAGATTTACTGTACATAGTATTTTAAAATGAATTTTTAAAGTAATATCTATACTGTCACTTTTCTCATATGGAGTCTTTACACTAATGTATTGCCAATGGCCCTATTTAGGTAATTTTTATAAATTACACCTGAATAGCTTCTTACTCTTCATAAGTATTGTCATCCACATCTGCTGCTAGAAAGGGTTTAATAATTAAATAATTTTATAAAGCCTTAGAAATTCTAAAGCCCTATCACTTATATATACTGTCCATACAAAGATAGCACCTCGGGTGTAAAATGAGAGGCTTAGAGTTGATCACAGGTCTCTTGGCTCTAAAATACTTAGCTTTCTTTTCAAACAATTAATAAGGCAGCTATTGCTGGAACTGGAATGGGACATTTTAGATCTGTTTGCCCATTTTACTACACATTGCCAATCCAAATTAGGAACCTCAAAATCCTTTCTTAAAAGTAGGTGATCCAAGAATCTGGTTCAGTATTATCCAATTTCCAGAGAAATGCAAATGGGAAAGTGATCTTGCCCAAAATGAGTGAAACCCTATTCCTTGAGGAAGGTCACTTAGCTTCCTGGGCTTCAGCTTACTCAATATGTAAATTCGGAATTATATGAAGGAATAATACACATTTAAAAAGCTAAGACCCATCAGTGCTGATCTGTGCAAGTTATAAGAACAAAAAAATTGCCGTGTGCAGTGGCTTACGACTGTAATCTCAGCACTTTGGGAGGCTGAGATGGGCGGATCACTTGAGGTTAGTAGTTCGAGACCAGCCTGGCCAACGTGGTGAAACCCCCATCTCTACTAAAAAATACCAAAAATTAGCTGGGCGTGGTGGTGCATGCCTGTAGTCCCAGCTACTTGGGAGGCTGAGGCACAAAAATGGCTTGAACCTGGGAGGCGGAGGTTGCAGTGAGATCGCGCCATTGCACTCCAGCCTGGGCAAAAGAGCGAGACTCGTCTCAAAGAAACAACAACAACAACAAAAAATAAAAAGCTATGACTCTTACGGTTAACTTTTCAATGGAACTAATGGGGTGTAATGATGAGGAGAGTCAGTAGTCAGATTGCCTGGGTTTAGCTGTATGAGCTTAATAAGGTCATAGCAATTTGCTCATCTGTTAAAATAGCGATCAAAGTAACCTACCACATAGGTTGTGAGGATTCAGTAAGATAAATGCACACGTGCTTAAGAACACCTGACATTTAGTAAGGGATCAAATATTCAAATAGGTTTCACATCCAGTAATTTGGGGAAGAATGGCTCAGTAGATGGTAATGGTAGTTAACACAGGACGCTATGCGCGATATGCGCTAGGCACCGTTCCTAAATACCATGTTGAATTTAATCCTTTTAAACATCCTTTCAAGTGTTTTTTTTTTTTTTTTTTTTTTTTGCTGTTTTTGAGATAGGGTCTTGCTTTGTCACCCAAGCTGGAGGGCAGTGACACAATTATACCACACTGCAACCTCTACCTCCTGGACTCAAGCAATCCTCTTTTCTCAGCCTCCCAAGTAGCTAGGATTGTAGGCACCCACCATTATGCCTAGTTAATGAAAAAAATTTGTTTTTTGTAGAGACAGGGTCTCACTATGTTGCCCAGGCCGGTCTTGAACTCCTGGTCTCAGGTGATCCTCCCACTCAGCCTCCCAAAGTGCTAGAATTACAGGTGTGAGCCACCACACCTGGCTATAAAGTAGTATTCTGACCCACATTTTACCAATGAAGGAACAAGTGTAGTGAAATTAAGTACTTGCTCATGTTCACAGAGCTAGTAAGTGAAGGGACCAGAATACTAACTCAGGTGGTCTAGCTTGAGTCCATAGCATAAGCACTTCTACAGCTGTTACCAAATATCACTAAAATGCTGGGGGCTAAACTCACAGAATCAAATTTGCCAGTCAAGCAATACTTGTGGGCAGTCAGAATCTTTAGATTTACATATTAAGCACTTTCGAGTTATTTCAAATAAGGCCATGTTTTAAATTGCTAACACGTTTATTCATGAATGAAGCCAAGAAGAATTTATAAATGCATTTTAATACCTTGCTGATAAAATAGTAACATTCCATCTTTGCAATCTGATACGGAATACGGGAGATACTGGTAAAGGCTTTGATGTGCATATCTATTATAACCAGGTAATGAGAACACACACGAACCACCTACTTTAGTGTTACATCATACCAACTTCTCAGAAAGGCCAGCTTCAAAGCTCTACTGGGTAGCCGAGTAAATAGCGTCCAATGTTTAAAGACTGGGGAGCCGGGGAGAAAGATGAAAGGAGGAAGCAGCACACATTTCAAAGCCCACTTTTAAGCACACGACATTATGAATATTAAAAATAAAGGATGCAAACAAAAAAGGCAATTCAGCATTTTCAGAAAGAGCATTTGGCAATATTCAACGCATAAGGAGACTGTGCTTGGGGCCATCCACTCTCTCCAGCTTCTCAAAGTGTTTCCGGGCATTGCGAATGTTGATCAGAGTGGCCGCAGAAGGGATCGACGGGTCTGACATGACCACCATCACATACGTGTTTGAGGTGAAGATGTCGATGAAAGCAGCGAAGTTGGAATTCCTAACTTCCATGCTCTGGAAGGAAGCGGCCAATTTACTGCAGCTCAGCTTGAACTGTTTGATGATGTTGCTGATCTTCTCAAACCGGTGGACGTCGCGCTGCTCTTTGCACTGGTAGTGGGAAATAACCAAGAACGTAGCTCTTTCGAACAGCAGAACTTCATCGGCCTCAATGATTTGGGCAAAATTCCTGAGGTTCATCTCCAGCTGCTGAACGTTGGGAATCAGCTGGTAGACGATGCTGGACCAGGCTTTGTAGAGCGTCTCATCCCAGATGGACGTTCGAAAACAAGCACACTCCAGCGGGCGAGACAGACGCCTCAGGTCTTCCTCTCGCTCTTTAAAAATCAGGTCGCGCTGATCCTCCTGAACCAGATCCATTTTGTGCACCAGGCAGAAGATTTTGGCGTCAGGAGAGTTCTGGAGGATGGCCTCCAGACACGACTGGTAATAATGCATGTCCTTTTCCAGTTCGCGGCTCTCCACGTCAAACACGTAAATCAAAACTTCCACGTTACGGAAAATATTGTCTCGCTGGCTGGTGAAGTAATTTTCCATGAACGTGTCCTGACCGCCACAGTCCCACAGGTTCAGCACCAGGTTCCCCAGGAATCGGACGTGGGAGTGCTCCACGTCAATGGTGGCCCCCAGGCGCCGGGTGTCGCGAGCAATATAATTGGCGAAGATAATCGACCTCATGCTGGTCTTCCCCGACCCGCTCTTCCCCATCAGCAGCACCTTTTTCTTCATGGCTGTATTTGGCATCACCCGCCGGGGCCGCCGCGGACTGGGCCTGAGGGCGCGGCCTACACGCAGCGCCGAGGGAGGGGTCGGGGGCTGCCGGAGACTCGCAGGCGGTGCCTCGCTCCGCTCCGCCGCGCAGCTGGGCAGGCAGGAGAGGCGAGAGCGCGAACCCGGGGCTGGAGAGGCCGCAGCGGGGCTGGCTCTTCCTCAGAGGGGAGCGCCTGCGGCTGTCGGTAGCAACGGCTTGGGAGATGCGCTTGCCTTCCGGAGAGGGAACCGCTGCGTCCCCGCCACCACCCACTTCCGGCGGCGATCTCGCGAGAGCTCCGTCGCTCCGCCGTTCCTGCCCGACGAGCTTTGAAAAGCTGCCACTCTAATGAAACCCAACCCGGGCAGCGTGAGCCCTAAGATGGAAGGGAAGCCCAAGGACTGCGGTCTTTTGTTCTGTTGCAGCTGGGTTTGCGGTTGCTAGGGGTACGTGTATGGTTGGCAGGGGGAAATGCTGCCCTCTGGTGGCCAAAAAAAAAGCCCCAACCACCACCACTACCGCAACTGGCTTTAGGAGCGAGGTGTGCTGGGCGGGTTTCCGCAGGGGCAGCCGACTGATGAAGTGGAGGGAAAGCCTAACTTCCCAGTCCGCTTAGGCCTCCCCAGGTTCCCTGGCCCAGTGAGCACAGGGGCAGGGCAGATGGAGAATGTGCAGATGCGGAAAGTGAGACTTAGACAAGTAAAGCGATTGCCCACCGCTGCGCAGCTAGACGATAGCGAGTCCCTCCTGGGAGACATCCTGGCTTCCAGTTGGTGCTTTTAATTCCTTTCTCACGTCTGCTTTTCCCGTAATCTCAGAGTTTAGAATTTATAATTAGAATTCCAAAGCTCGAGGAAACGATAATATGGAATCCCATGCATTAGTTCCATCCTCACAGTAACCCTGTGAATTAGTAACCCTATTTTCAAGTGAGGTAATCAAAGGTTAGAGAGGTTAAGTCACTTGACCAAGTTACACATATACTAAATGATGAAATGGAATTTGATTTTAGTCTGACTACAGTCTATTTGCCTAACAATAGGCCACCCTGTGCCCCTCTAAAAGCGTAATGTGATTCTGCTCTTGGTCTTCAAGTAGATAAGAGAATCAGTGTCCTCCAGTATCGTTCATACAGAATGAATGAGAGTCATCAGGATACTGAAGCCTCTATATCTATCTTAAAGTCCTTTTTTTTTCTTTTGAGATGGAGTCTTGCTCTGTTGCCCAGGCTGGAGTGCAATGGCGTGATCTCAGCTCATTGCAACCTCCGCCTCCTGGGTTGAAGCGATTCTCCTGCCTCAGCCCCCCAAATAGCTAGGATTATGGGCACCTGCCACCACCCCTGGCTAATTTTTGTATTTTTAGTAGCGACGGGGTTTCACCATGTTGGCTAAGCTGGTCTCGAACTCCTGACCTCAAGCGAGCCACCTGCCTCGGCCTCCCAAATTGCTGGGATTACAGGCATGAGCCACCGTGCCTGGCCTAAAGCC